ACCCCTTGGAATCACCTATTGATATGGAGATACACTAAGGCCAGGGGAGAGATTCTGGTAATGCAATTTTACCCACAGTTATTTTTCAAAGCATATTACATTTTGACTTATGATCAATAGGCAATATAATTTTATATGTGTATTTTTGTGTGTGTGAAACATGTAACTATTTTTCATAGCCTTTTTAGAATAAATTCACTTCATATCATTTTATTTATTTTGTCTCTTTTCATGATGTAATTCCAAATTTCCCTGGTAAAGGATATTAACATATTTTTACCAAAGAAGTGTTTCATATTTAGAATTATTACTCAAGAAATTGCCAGTCATGACACTGTTATCCAAAGGTATGCAAATTATCAAATTTTACAGTTAATTATTGGAAATTTTTTAAAAGATCTACTTCTGTTGCCAGAAATGTATTTTTCTATTGATGGACATCCATATATCATGTAAGCATTCTTCCTTATGTTTTCATTCTTTTGTCTTTTTTACAGTAACTGGGTTATTCCAAAACTCCTACCCTCTGACTCAACTTACTCCATCTTCCATTTGTTCTACCCTGCTAAAGATGCCCTCTATTGCATTTTTCATTTCATTCATTAAAGTCTTCACTTCCAAATTACTGCTTGGTTATTATTTTTTTTAATATCCTTTTGGTGACTATTGCATTTTGATCCTGTATAGTTATCATAATTTTGGTCAATTATTTTTGAGTGTTCTTTTAACCAACTTACTTTCTTCGAAGAGCTATTTTAAATTCTTAATCGGCTAGATAGAAAAACTTTGTGCCTTTGAACTTGGTTGTTGGAGAACTACTATCTTTTGATGATGGTGCATTTCCGTGAGTTTTCGTGTTATTCTTAGTTTTGCTTGCTGCTTTTGCATTGGACTACAAGACTCCTCCTTAAATTTTTGCTAGTTGCCTTAAGATGTATTATAATATTTGTTAATTGTGTTGTGTCCTGGGTTTTCTTTGCCTTTGTATTTGTACAGCTGCTCACTCTTCTTGTTCCCACTTGTGGTGTAGGATCTGAAGAATCAAAAGTTAGCATAAGTACAGCCATCTTAAGGCCTAAATACCACCCCCTAACCCAAAAGAAGGAAAATTCTACCCCTTTTGAAAATGCTATAAAACCTTCTGCCTTAGTGTGCTCGGGGTCCTCGTTGAGACCTGCTGCGACAGGCTGACTTGGACCCCAACTAGTTGGCTTCCGAATAAATTCCTCTTGCTTGTTGCATCAAGAAACGTCTTTGGTGAGTGATTTGGGGCGGCGCCTTCCTCAGGGGAATCCAACAGTGGCAGAATTCTTAAGTATTTATGCTTCCTCTGGACCTTACCACTCACCTGGTTGGTTCACTGGAAGGATTCTTTCATTTCCCTGAAGGAGCCACGATAGCTCAACTTTGTGGTTCCTTCCTTGCTTACTAATCCTGGTCTGTATTTCTCACAGAACATCTTTTTTGAATGGATTTGTTCTCACTGCTGCATTTGGGCATGTACACAGAGTCAGCTGCATATATCGATACTGAATTATCTTGAGGTTACAAGGACAAAGGGGCTGAAGCCACTCCTGATGCAGTGAGGTAGGACCAGGCTTTGGGAGTCCAGTATAGTTTCTGAGAAGTCATAACCCTGGAGGATCACTTTGCTCATCATTGATGTAGCAAACATGATCATTTCCTCTGTGTTTTATCCTCAGACATTTTTAATATGCTTAACACATGATCATATCCAGTAATATTTTTGAAGTTATAAAAATAGTAAAGTAAATCAATTATTTCAAAATTGAAAATATATGTTGATAATTTTATTCAATTGTATTAAAATAAAACATTATGCAAGTCATTTGGATCTAATAGAGTACTATTTATTATGAACATTTCCATTTTTGAAATTTTATTTTATTATTGCCTGATAATAATAAGAAGGTAAATTCTCTGTATCTGTGGCTTCCAGTTCAACTGATTTGTGTACATCTTCTTAAATGATTTACCTAATATCTTACATAATCTGTATAACACAGACACTTAATAAAAACAGAATTCACAATTCAAGGAAAAACGAGGTCAACATTACAAAAATATGAGTGGATAGTGGTAATAATTGGTATAAACTGTATTATGATAGAAGTAAATATATATTTATTTACTTATTGCTTAAGTTGCTAGATGGAAACTTGTAATTTTCAGTTTGTGAGGCCGAGTAGTAGGTAAAGTAGTTCTCAAATCTATCGTGGTGAATAAAAGCAGTAATATTGATTCTTGCCTCTCTGCTAAAGGTTCTGGTTTTGGTTTACAACACATTTAAAGTGGATGCTAATATAAGTTGCTTAATTCACATTGAAGGTACAAGCCATTTCCTAATGCACTGGAGCTACATTATGAATACACTCTCTCTGATTGGAAACTATAATTTGTTTCAATCTATTGGTAAATTTAAAATCAAGAAAGCTGTCAGTCCTCAATACATTTCTTTTACACTAATTTCTATTGTACCTCTTATTTGGCATTACATCTAAATCAAGGAAGTTTCTTTGGATAATGGAGGGAAAGAGGTCTGAGGAATTTCTTTAAGGGGAAAGTAATTCAAGGTGTATATTAGATGTTTATTTTTGCACACTTTTATCATTTATTGGGTGAAATATTTATATTTATAACATATAATACATAGTGTACATGGCCTAAATGTAGTACATAATGGCCTAAAATTAAGTTCTTCAGCTTTATGGAGGCAATTTTACAGCATTTTAAGTTGGTGATGCTCACCACAGGATTACCTTATAGAATCAGAGGCGGGAGAAAAACCTCACTGATTACTTCCCAGATACTAAGGACTAAGAAAAAGGACTAAGAACTCTGCCATTATTAATAATGACTGAAGAGAATGATAAATATATCTTCTTTAACTCCACAGAAATTTAAATTATACGTAATACTGGTGGGAATTGATAGGGTGGGGCAGGTAACAACTTGCCATTTCCCATCATTGTCATTAATTTAAAATAACAGAGCCATATGGACTGTCAACAGGCTGTTATAAGATTATTCATAAGCCTCATGGTAGCAACAAAGCCAGAGGCTATAGTAGACACACAAAGACAAATAAATCAAAGCATAACTCTCCAAAAGTGAACAAATCACAAAAGAAGACCGTAAAGAAGAAAGGAACACAGACATTATAAACATAAAACCATTATCAAAATGTCCATAGTAAATCTTTACAGATCAATAATTACTTTAACACTAAATGCTTTGAATTCTCTAATCAAAATGTATTAAACTCTAGAAGATTCTTCATACAGTTTATGGGTGATTTAAGAAAGTATATGTAAGGTACAAGAGATGACTTTAGGCAACATATCAGCTAAACACGTACGGTTGGAAAAAGCTACTCCACCCAAGCGTTATCCAGAGAAAGAACAGGGACAGCTATATGTACGATCAGACCAAAGGGACTTAAAAAGAATCTGTTATAAGAGAAAAATAAGATCATTACATACTGATATGAGTCAGCTAATCAAGAGGATTAAACAATTTAAAATATATATGTACCTACAATTAGAATGCTTAAATATATAAAGGAAATTGTAACCAAATTTAAGGGAGAAATGGGCACAATACAATAACAGTTGGGGCAACAATGCCCCCCTTGAAACAAGGGCTACATCATCTGGCCAGAACAAGCGCACACCTAATGGGCTGTCCTTTGCAGAAATGTCTTAATCACTTTGAGAAGACTGAGGTCATGTCAGCTATTTTTCCCAAACAGTGGTAAGAAAATAAAAATCAATCCTAGGAGGAAAACTGGAATTTTCAAATCTGTGGAAATTAAGCAATATGTTACTAAATAACCAACAGGTCAAAGAAGAGAATAAAAGGGAAATTAAAGTGTCTTAAGACAATAGAAAATGGAAAAAATAATATACAAATATACATAGTGTGCAGTGAAGACAGTTCTGAAAATTAGGTTTATAAAGATAAATTGCATATGATGGGTATTTACTAGGCTCATGTTTGGATCATTTTACAATACATACAAATATTGAAATTTTTTTTACTCACCTGAAAGAGTACAGTATCTTCTGTAAATTATGTCAGTAAAAATGTAACTTCAGTATTCTTATCTAAGACTTTGCAGGGGAAATGATGATATGGAATCGCCATATTGTGACAAGAGCTATGATTAGTGACAAATTTATTTTACATACAAAAGTAACAGAAAAATACAAAGCAAAAGTTATTAAAAATTAGAAGTAATGAATAAGCCATAAATTCAGGCAATTTCAGAAGTAAATATGAAACAGCTAAAGATAACAACTCTAATGAAGAGTAATTGGTATTTTGAAAATTCTATACAATAGAAACGAAATGTTTTCACTAAAATGTATGTTTTATTTTGGAAATCACAAGTACTGAGCCACATAACAAAGAGAAAGAGAGATTAAACAAAATTTTAAAGTATCTTAAAAGAACGCTATTTAATTAATTTGTGCTAAAACATATAGGGTATCAATAAATACTTCAATAATTCCATGTCATATCATGAGAAAAAGAATTTTCATAGGAAAAATATTTAAAAAATAGTATATACTTGAAAATTATTATTATTATACCAGTTAGAGTGGTAGTTAGGGAATATACATATAAATTCTTCTAATAAAGGAAATTGGTAAATGATGTTCTTCTCTTTAAAAATTCTGTGTACTTTTTATAAAATGAACAAATGTAATATAATAAGAATAAAAATTATTACATATATTACATGAATAAAATATCTCCATTTTTGTTATCATTCACATGATTAACTATAAGAAAACGACGATGTTAAGTTGTATCATTACAGAAGGTATTATATGTTTTCCCCTAATTCTCAAATACATGGTGTCACCTGTTAAATCCACATGGATATGTTTATATACATACCTGTTAATTCCATTTCAAAGCAGAAGCTCACTCTGTAGTGGATTCACATTGCAAACAACAGCACCGCACAGCCCTCATTTCCTGAGAAGCCTTCTGAGGGCTCTGGCGATGTCCTTGTTCCGCAGGCTGTAGATGAGGGGGTTGAGCATGGGTGTGAGGATGGTGTAGAAGACGGAGAGCACTTCATCCTGCTCAGGGGGGTGGTAGGACTTGGGCAGAAAGTACTTGAAGATGGCAGCCCCGTAGAACAGAGACACCACAGTCAAGTGAGAAGAGCAAGTAGCCAAGGTTTTCGTGAGCTCCAGGCTCGATTGCATGCCCAGCACAATGAACAGTATGCGTCCATAGGAGGCCAGAATGGCTGAGATGGGAGGGAGGAGAAAAATCACCCCACTGACAAAAACACCCTTTTCATACTGGAAAGTGTCAGCACAGACCAGTTTCAGTAAGCGTGGGATCTCACAAAAGAAATGATGGATTTGCCTAGAGGCACAGTCAGGGAGATTCGTAGTATAGATAACATGGATGGAGGCATTGAGCAGTGCGCCCAGCCAGGACGTGAGCACCAGGAGTGTGCAGACCCTGGGGCGCATGAGGATGGGGTAGTGCAGTGGGTGGCAGACAGCCACAGCGGTCATAAGCCATGACGGCCAGCAGCAGGCACTAGGTCCCCACAAGGCTCGTGAAGAGGAACATCTGAATGCTACACCTAAAGAAGGAGATGTGATGGTCCCCAAAGAGAAAGTCCAGGGCCATTTTGGGGACAAACGTAGAGATGTACAAGAGGTCCATGAGGGAGAGCCAGCCGAACAGGAAGTACATGGGACTGTGGAGCTGAGGGGCAGCCCTAATGAGGGTTATCGTTGTGGTGCTGCCCAGCAGGGCACCCAGGAGATCCAGCACAGTGAGGGCAAAGAAGGTCCAGGGAGCCGAGGTGCCTTGAAACAGATCTGAGAGTATGAAGTCACGCCCTGAAGTCTGGTCGTTCTGCCATGACACTCTCTTGTTCCTAATTTGCAAATGTGAAGATCATTTTTAAATAGCTGTAATTATAAGCATTATTTTTATAGTGCGGAGAAAATTTTCAAATTAATTCCTGCCTCACTTCCCAATATCTCAGGTAAGTTTCCTTCCTGCCCTTCATCTTCTAGTGTTCATGAATAGATACATTTTCCTTTCAGCAGAATTTACTAAGAAATATTAAGAGATCATCTATGGCATAACACATTGCACCCTAGGGATTATGGCATATTTGTTTTTTACATTTTAATATATAGTTTAGATATATGTTTGTTATTAAATTTTTGTAGAAATTTTAGCTTTTATGCAAATACATTAAACTTCTACTTTCGGTAACAGCTCTGAATCCAGAGACATGAATTTATTAATTAAATGCATTAATTACTATATGTTTCAGTTGATTATCACATTTATCAATACATGTACATGGAACAAAATGGAAAAACTTTGAGAAAAACTCAGAATCAGGTAAAGGACACAGCTATCAACAACTATATCTCTTACATACAGTCCAATACCTTCTTTGATTATTAGTTGCAAAAAGGAAAAAATATCATCTAAGGAACTATCTTAAAGCAAGAGCTGTAATTAAATATTTATAATAGCCACGATTTGGAAGCAACTTAAGTGTCCTTCAGTAGATGAATGAATAAAGAAGATGTGGTACATATATACAATGGAATATTATTCAGCCATAAAAATAAAACAAATCCTACCATTTGCAATAGGATGAATGGAACTAGAGGTTATTATGCTCAGTAAAATAATCCAAGCAGAGAAAGACAAATGCCAAATGATTTCACTCATCTGTGGAGTATAAGAACAAAGGAAAAACTGAAGGAACAAAACAGCAGCAGGATCACAGAACCCAACAATGGACTACCAGGTACCAAAGGGAAAGGGACTGGGGAGGATGGGTGGGTAGGGAGGTATAAGGTGGGGAGGAGAAAGGGGGTATTATGATTAGCATGCATAATGTGGGGAATGGGAGAAAGGGGAGGGCTGTGCAACACAGAGAAGACAAGTAGTGATTCTACAACATTTTGCTATGCTGATGGACAGTGACTGTAATGGGGTTTGTGGGGATCTTGGTGTAGGGGAGAGCCCAGTAAACATAATATTCTTCACATAATTGTAGATAAATGATAACAAAAAAAAGAAGAGAAAAAAAGGGGGATTACTCCTTGATAGGATAAAACTAACTGCAAATCAATGATTAATTCAGGCTTTACATATCCTTAATTTTGATCTTTTAAAAGGTGTCAGATGATCAGCTATGGAAGTACATTTTTCTGATAATATTCCTTTCTCTTAAATAAAAAAAGCAGTTCCTGTGTGGTGACTTCCATTAGGTTTTTCACAATGGTATAAAGGTCATATCAAAGTGTGGGCAAAGGGTTTGTTTGTGTTTATACAGAGTATCAAAGCCTAATTTGGCTACCCAGAAAATGAATTAAGATACGATATGAAGAAGAACTTCCAACATCAACATTCTCTGGTAGAGTCATTCCAGAAGGTGATCATCAAAAACTTCAACAAAGATGCTGGCACTGTTGCAGTTGTAGCTGTATTCATCCCACTAGTTTCTGGACTTGCCATTGGAATGAAGAAGGAGACATCTAAGCTTGCCTGTGCATACAGTAAAACAGCAAATTTGACTGGATCTATACTGTCGGAACTCAACCAAGAATTAGGAGAAGTGCAAGTTGCAGTGCTCCAAAATCATGTGACTATAGACTATCTACTGTTAAAAGAACATATGGAATGTTAACAGTTCCCAGGAATATGTTGTTTTAATTTGTCTGATTTTTCTCAAACTATTCAAATTCAGTTATATAATAACCATCATATCATTGTTAAGTTTTCACAAATGCCTAGGGTACCTAACTGGTTTTCTTGGTTTCACTGGATATGGCTGGTAATTGTAGGTCTGCTTTTGATATGTAGCTATATTCCTATTATGTTAATGTGTGTACACAATTTAATTAGTAGTTTGTTAAAACCTATACATGCTTATGTTACTCTACAAGAAGATATGTCAAAGAAATAATCAATCTTCCCATGTTTTCTTCCATCTGCTACTTCTATAGCTTTTCTTTTTCCTTCCTAATTACAACCCTTTGGTAGAATTCGTGAGTCATATTGAATTTACCTAGTATCATAATTCCTCCAAGTGCTAAAGATACCTCGAGACAAGTGCTGAGAATAGAAGCCACAGGGCATAAATCTGCAAAGAAGTAAAAAGCTAACCTTTTCAAACAATATGGCTTCTCTCTCACTTACCAACTTTACATTTCACTGTGTGGCCCTGAAAGATGACTGGTTAGCCAGAGATGGGTAAGATTCCTCAAGAGAGGAACAACCTAAGACAGGCACAGTCGCAGGGGGCCCATCAGGTGAGAAATTGGGGATCAACAGAGGTGAGGTTTAGAACCTCACCCCCCTGTTTTGACAGAAATCTTCTGCATCTGTGGATGTTTTGTTGCCCTTGTCTAGCCTGGATTAATACTTATTCTATAGGCACACACCTGATCATCTACATTTGCCCTCTTATAGCACTAAATTAAATTTTATGCCTTTATCTTGCATCTACCTACCACTTCAGCATTTTATTAAAAATAATAATAATAATGATAAGGGAGAAATGTGGGATTCACATATAAATCAAGTATAAAAATAAAATGAATAGGGGGCGGAGCCAAGATGGTGGTGTGAGTAGAGCAGCGGAAGTCTCCTACCAAAACCATATATATTTTTCAAAATACAACAAAGAACAGTATTCCTAAAATAGAGACCAGAAGACACAGGACAACAGCCAGACCACATCCACACCTGCGAGAAACCAGCACATCACGAAGGGGGTAAGATAGAAGCCCTGGCCCGGCGAGACCCAAGTGCCCCACACACCAGCTTCCAGTGGGAAGAGAGGAGGCAGAGTGGGAAGGAGAGGGAGCCCAGGACTGCTACATACCCAACCTCAGCAATCACACCAGAGTGCAGACACAGTGCATGCATGAGGTGCTAGAAACTAGGGAAACAGGATAGTAAGACCTATGAGCAGCTCCCTGCAGATGTTGCACCCGGGACAAAGAAAAGCGAGTGCTTTATGGAAGTCTTAAAGGCACAGGGACCTCACAGCCCAATGGAAGTTTCCTGGGAATCTGGGGATCTCTAAGCACTATAACCCCCCTGGTCAGCAGGGAGCATGGAGGCCCCTCACGGAGATAAAATGCCTCCCAGCCGTTCCCCCTCCAACACGGCTCCACCATATCAGAGCAGCAGCCTCAGGCAGGCCATGCCCACAGCAACAGCAGAGATAAACTCCATAGCACCTGGGCAAGAATCAGAAGACCTTTATGAGTGTAGCTGCCCAGCACAAGCCATTAGAGGTCGCTGTTCTCCCAGGAGAGGAAGGCCACAAACCAACAAGCAGGGAAGTTGTTCCAGCTGTCACTCGTCCCAGCTCTGCAAACTATCTCTATCACCATGAAAAGGCAAAACTACAGGCAGACAAAGATCACAGAGACAACACCTGAGAAGGAGACAGACCTAACCAGTCCTCCTGAATGTACGGTTGGAAAAAGCTACTCCACCCAAGCGTTATCCAGAGAAAGAACAGGGACAGCTATATGTACGATCAGACCAAAGGGACTTAAATAGAATCTGTTATAAGAGAAAAATAAGATCATTACATACTGATATGAGTCAGCTAATCAAGAGGATTAAACAATTTAAAATATATATGTACCTACAATTAGAATGCTTAAATATATAAAGGAAATTGTAACCAAATTTAAGGGAGAAATGGGCACAATACAATAACAGTTGGGGCAACAATGCCCCCCTTGAAACAAGGGCTACATCATCTGGCCAGAACAAGCGCACACCTAATGGGCTGTCCTTTGCAGAAATGTCTTAATCACTTTGAGAAGACTGAGGTCATGTCAGCTATTTTTCCCAAACAGTGGTAAGAAAATAAAAATCAATCCTAGGAGGAAAACTGGAATTTTCAAATCTGTGGAAATTAAGCAATATGTTACTAAATAACCAACAGGTCAAAGAAGAGAATAAAAGGGAAATTAAAGTGTCTTAAGACAATAGAAAATGGAAAAAATAATATACAAATATACATAGTGTGCAGTGAAGACAGTTCTGAAAATTAGGTTTATAAAGATAAATTGCATATGATGGGTATTTACTAGGCTCATGTTTGGATCATTTTACAATACATACAAATATTGAAATTTTTTTTACTCACCTGAAAGAGTACAGTATCTTCTGTAAATTATGTCAGTAAAAATGTAACTTCAGTATTCTTATCTAAGACTTTGCAGGGGAAATGATGATATGGAATCGCCATATTGTGACAAGAGCTATGATTAGTGACAAATTTATTTTACATACAAAAGTAACAGAAAAATACAAAGCAAAAGTTATTAAAAATTAGAAGTAATGAATAAGCCATAAATTCAGGCAATTTCAGAAGTAAATATGAAACAGCTAAAGATAACAACTCTAATGAAGAGTAATTGGTATTTTGAAAATTCTATACAATAGAAACGAAATGTTTTCACTAAAATGTATGTTTTATTTTGGAAATCACAAGTACTGAGCCACATAACAAAGAGAAAGACAGATTAAACAAAATTTTAAAGTATCTTAAAAGAACGCTATTTAATTAATTTGTGCTAAAACATATAGGGTATCAATAAATACTTCAATAATTCCATGTCATATCATGAGAAAAAGAATTTTCATAGGAAAAATATTTAAAAAATAGTATATACTTGAAAATTATTATTATTATACCAGTTAGAGTGGTAGTTAGGGAATATACATATAAATTCTTCTAATAAAGGAAATTGGTAAATGATGTTCTTCTCTTTAAAAATTCTGTGTACTTTTTATAAAATGAACAAATGTAATATAATAAGAATAAAAATTATTACATATATTACATGAATAAAATATCTCCATTTTTGTTATCATTCACATGATTAACTATAAGAAAACGACGATGTTAAGTTGTATCATTACAGAAGGTATTATATGTTTTCCCCTAATTCTCAAATACATGGTGTCACCTGTTAAATCCACATGGATATGTTTATATACATACCTGTTAATTCCATTTCAAAGCAGAAGCTCACTCTGTAGTGGATTCACATTGCAAACAACAGCACCGCACAGCCCTCATTTCCTGAGAAGCCTTCTGAGGGCTCTGGCGATGTCCTTGTTCCGCAGGCTGTAGATGAGGGGGTTGAGCATGGGTGTGAGGATGGTGTAGAAGACGGAGAGCACTTCATCCTGCTCAGGGGGGTGGTAGGACTTGGGCAGAAAGTACTTGAAGATGGCAGCCCCGTAGAACAGAGACACCACAGTCAAGTGAGAAGAGCAAGTAGCCAAGGTTTTCGTGAGCTCCAGGCTCGATTGCATGCCCAGCACAATGAACAGTATGCGTCCATAGGAGGCCAGAATGGCTGAGATGGGAGGGAGGAGAAAAATCACCCCACTGACAAAAACACCCTTTTCATACTGGAAAGTGTCAGCACAGACCAGTTTCAGTAAGCGTGGGATCTCACAAAAGAAATGATGGATTTGCCTAGAGGCACAGTCAGGGAGATTCGTAGTATAGATAACATGGATGGAGGCATTGAGCAGTGCGCCCAGCCAGGACGTGAGCACCAGGAGTGTGCAGAC